TAATAGTTTGGCTGTAAAGTCCTTCGCCTCGTAGTTGGAGTATTCTTAGTTAGTTAGAAACCGATTTTTATATGCAAATAAACAACAATAACATTAGAAAAGATTTTGGACGTTCAAAATCTTCTGTAGAAGATGACACCTTTTGCGAAAACTCTTCGATACTTTTGATTGAATGATTAAGGATGGAATGATTATGGAAAGTCAGTTATGAAATCCCTGAAAATTTTAAAGATTTTATAAAAAACGACAACGATTCTATACGAAAATAAAAAATGCTCATTTTTGACTTTACATAAAATCAACCAAATTTTATAAAAAATTTGATCTTCTTTCTCTCATAAAATCGTTCAGGATTTGCTGCAGAATAGAAAATCCTGCTTGATTTTTGAGAGAAATATAAAATTAACTTAATTTTTCGGCTAAATCAAAAACCAATATTAAATCTTTCCTAGAATTATGCTACGTTTCTGGAAAATCAACCCCGATTTTTCTCTTGTTATACTTTAACCAGTAAAGAAGTCAATCTTCAAAGAGGCACAAGCTATAACGCTAATGGTTAATACTTTTCGTCATTTTTTATTTTTTTATCGATGCATTTAAACGATCGATGCATTTGTATGAAGCGTGTTCTTTTTCAAATTCTATGTGCGAAGTGTGTTTTCAACATGTTTGACAGATATGATAAATGTTATATATAATCTTTTTTATATGTAATGAGAAAATGAATATAAACATTTCATCGTTCGCTGAGGGATGAATGTATACCTTTTAGGCTTTTTAATGACTTTGATAGCTCAAGTAGACTTTACCCTAGTTGGCTTTTTATGCCTAACTTTGTTTACAACATCACCCATGTAAAAATATTCAAGCGCATTATTGAACGTATTCTCGAAAAAATGACAACGCAGTCTTGACCGTAATTTCCTCATGCCATATTTTTTGCGGTTTTTAAAAACAGAAGAATGCGCTCTCGTCGACTAGAATTCAGGGATGCATATACTGGAACACATTCTTCACTATGTCCAAAAAAGATTTTTTTCATTTTACTTGTTTTTTGTTTATTTTTGTTTATACGCCAACTTACATAGTAACGAAACACGTTCAGAGCACACTTCGAGTTTCTGAATCCATATTGGTCGAAAATGACCCAACAGGAAAAAAAGAACATACTTCAAGTATGCCAAACTTGCATTGGAGCATGGTTAAAACATACTTCATCCGCGTTCTTTCTCCGCTAGTCAACCAATGGCTGAAGGATGTTTAGACTGCGGATGAAGTGTGTTCTTTCTATACTTAAAGTGTATTCTTTTCTGACAGTATACGTCTTATCTGCATAAAACCTAACGTGAATAAGAAAACAAAATAGAAGAGAAAGCGAAAGAAAACTCCTATTTTTCATAGCTCTTATATTTGCTACAACTCTACTGATGGTAGAGATTCCAGCCACATTCAGAATGCAATAATCTGTTGAATAGTTCACTAACAAAATGTTAACAATATGAGATATATGCTTTTGATCAGTGCACAAACAACATTAAAGTAAAAAGGCATGTCAAGTATTGAACATGCACAATACAATGATCGACAAATAACAATATATAATCATTCTAAACCAAATACTGTTTATGCGCTATTTATACCAGAGCTGATCACCCGCATAATTATTGATCCGTGTGCAGTCTACGCGCAGGAGCGAATGAAAAGTTACCATTGTTGCAGTTTACAGTGCAGAAAAGAAACCTCTTATCCTCCACATACAGGAAGTGCGGGTGAAAACTTCTGTACTGCTGTGCAAATAAAATTTTTCTATATGTTCTTCCGCGTACTTGCTTTTTGTGTCGAGTACTAAGAGACTTTTGCTTAAGCAAATAATATCATGCTTCATCCTTTACTAAGTACTTACAACATCTTATTACTTTTTCGTATTACAAATAGTATTTTAAAAATCACAGTAATCAGAGAAGTTACTGACTAAAGGATATCAAAGGGGTTTATTGAACAGTGCGAAACAGAAAACTGTTAAACCCTAAGTCGAGGTATAACAGTAAGTAACTTGTTTTTCTGCTGACCACTATCACTCTATATTACACACTGATGTTTATATATCACCAGTTTCTATTCACCATTATTGTTGTTGTATCACCATTTTTTCTTGCTGTTATCACCATAGTCGTTCGTCATCGTTACGCATGCAACAATCCCAAACTAGGAATCGCTGATCGGCACCGAACGGTTTGTTACCGAACATGTTGGTCACCAAGCCGTTTGTAACCGAACGGTTCGCTGCCGACCAGCGAGCCCTAGCTTGGGATGGTTGTATGCCTGATCTGGACTAAAGGCAAATTGAATGAAATTGAAGCTTTTGAAGGAACTAACCAGTGAGAAAATAGACTAAAGTACAATGTGAGCGAATGTGTCTTCTACTGAATCGCTACCAAAGGTTTAAAAGAAATAGTTTGTCAAAGCTAAGAACATGAGAACGAAGAAACACATGAAAGAAATCTTTGTAAAACAGAAAAAATGGTGAAGATTACACCAAACGGAGGAGCAGCCTTGATTACGCCGTAGCCGCAGGTAGTCATGTAAAGAAAAGTTTGAATCAGAGTAACAAATTTATGTTTACTTTATTCCAAGAAGTTGAAAGTACCTTTAGTTTCCATTATATCTGATTTACTCTCTAATTACTTACTAACGTGGCCTCTGTATAGCAGATTGATTTACTTTGTTTTCATGCAAAAATGGTTTTTCTCACTGTGCAGAAAAAAGTAGACAGACAGTTGCAGCTCTAATTTGAATGTATCTTTATAAGGTTTATGGTACTTTGTCCTAATAGTTTGTCAGCAGAGCGCTCGTCGATGTCTCTGATGAGAAAAATATAAATTATCGTATTTACAATCTTCGTCCGAACACGTTCGATAGCGATCCGGTAGAAGACACATTCGCTCACATTGTGCTTTAGTTAATCTATTTTCTCGCTGGTTACTTCCTTCAAAAGCTTCAGTTTCATTCGATTTGCCTTTAGCCCAGATCAGGCATGCAACCATCCCAAGCTAGGGCTCGCTGATCGGCAGCGAACATGTTCGGTTGCGAACGGTTTGGTGACCGAACATGTTCGATAACAAACCGTTCGGTGCCGATCAGCGATTCCTAGTTTGGGATTGTTGCATGTTTAACCCATACATGCAACACCCCTCTGAATCGGGTCAGGTTGGGTTGTCATGCCTGTGGTCAGCATATATTACTAAATCTCTGAGCTGGGTTAGGTTGAGTTGTTATGAGTGTCTTGTAGTGTAAAAATAAAATGCTTCTAAGCCGAGTAAATTGTGAAATACCTGAAAATTCAAGGTTTTTCGGAAAACCCACTGTGTGGTCGAGGAATGTTTGCGCTAATTTGCGCTAACAGGGATGGGAGAGGGTAGGTGGAGGGTAGAATTCTGGCAAAGTTTAGACCTTGGCTAACTTTCGCACACTCACTTTACTAAACATCTCCGTTCGGAAAATCAGTTAGAAAAAAGGCTTTTATTTTAAGGGTTTAAGAAATATTTTCACAGATAGACAACGGACGCCGTGCAGATTCAGAAGGTATATTGTGATAGTTTTTGGTTAGCTATTTTTGTCTACATAATGTCTAACCTAACTCGACACAGAGATGCACAACTGTTGATCACTAGCGAGACACAGCTAGATAGACATGACGGTTCAATCTAACCCGACCCACTGTTGTCGACCTAATACCACCTTGCGGAAGGCTAAAATAAAGTATCTTACACTCCTTCCAAAACTGTTTGAGAGTTTAATGGTTGCTGGTACAAAACTACGTTCAAATTTATTTTGCTTGGTGAAAAGGTTCGGATTTTTTATTAGCCAGTTGCCTTAAGTTGTAGTAATGGAGGGTTTTTGTTGACAAGAGAACCCGCAAATACGAGGACGCATGACTTGTATAGATTTTGCAGAAGAGGGTAAGTTTGTGAAAGATAAAAAATGCATTTAGCTCAGTCCATCCCAGAGCCTGTAACAGTAGATCATTGCTGGTCTTATAAGGTACCCAGCTAACGGTGAGTGCTCACAACTGGCATAATTTATCGCGATGAGTGTCAAGGACAGTATAAACATAGTCATCGTAGACAACGTTTGGTAAAAGAGTGATTTGTTCATTTGATCTAAGACTCTGGTAGAGATAGTGCGCCTGTATTTTTTCATAAGATATAAGATTTTATTACATTTACTTTCAACCTGCTAAATATGCTGTTTCCAGTTCAAATTGTGCGAAATACTAACCTGCATGTATTTAAGCTGCGAACACTTAATGGAACATTAAATCAGAAAAGAGGGATTACTGCCGCTCCGGTACCACTTGAGAATATGAACACACATTTATCAACATTCAGCAGAGTCTTAGACCTATATATGTAATCGGTGAAGATCAACATTTATATTTGCAAGCAGTCGGTGTCGATTGTAGTCCTAACTGTATAGCAGAGTATCATTCAAAAACGTTTTCGACCCAATTGGACCAAACCGAGTCAAGTCATATATATGGCAATTGCTGTTTTCTCAGAAAAGATGCTCTTCGTATTGCAGAAATTTTTGTTTGAATAAAAGTAGTGGAGCCTTGGCTTGAGTTTAGGATTGATACATTCAACTATTAATTTTAATTTAAACTTTATTTATCACTTCGAAAAAAGAATAGAGAGGAAATACGATAAAAACAAAAGTAGAGATGCTTTAGGCAGTTTTGCTTCAGATGTACACAAATTCGGAGGACCATTATATTGCTGTGCATAAGAAAAGTGCTTGGTAGAACAATTGGTATAATGTGTAGAGAGAGGAAAATAACCAACAAGAGAAGAGGCAAGAGGAAGAAGAACGAGAAGAAAAAGTGTGTCTAGAAGATGTTTTAGTATGTGGCATTATGATACGGGTTAGCGGTCTGTTGTTTCAAAATTCATAATTCAAAATTATTACTAATTTTTTAAAACTATTTTCTTCAGAATATAACAATGTTGTCATCAAAGAGAGAATATTCTCAGGTTCAAGATCAAGATCATCACTACCAACAGAGAAAGCAAGAAAATACAAAAGACTGTCATGCTTGGTTAACATTACTTGTAACAGCTCTCGTTCCACTGATGATTGTTATATTTACTGTGGTGATTACCGTAACACAGCAATCTTCGGCTGATAGACAACGCCAACAAGAACAACAACAAGCTGATAATATTCAAAACGAACAAATATTTTCTGTATATGTTGATGATATATCAAAATTATTGTTAACAAAAGAAGTCACAACGGATAATAAAGCTCTAATGTACATTCGCACAAAAACTCTCTCATCACTTCGAAAACTAGATACGCGAAGAAGGAAACATTTGTTATTGTTTCTGTATGAAAGCCAACTTCTTCAATATGATGAAGCTAAGAAACATGATCGTTCTACATTGAATTTAGCGGGAGCCAACCTGAATCATATTGATATAGAAAAACCGACAAATTTTAATAATTTATCTCTACCTAGTGTTGAATTGAACAATGCATCATTTATTAATTGTGATCTACAGCATTCACAGTTTGCTGATGCAGTCATGAACAACATTAGATTCACTAACTCATTTCTGCTAGGAACAAGTTTCAGTCGGTGTTCATTAGAACGAGCTGATTTTCGTAACACAACATTGGCTGAAGTTAGTTTCAGAAGTGCAGTTTTGAGACATGCAGACTTCAGACGAGCATGGACAAAAGGAGTTGATTTCACAAATGCTGATCTATATGGAGCTTTGATGACTGAAAAACATCTTCGTGAAGCTGAGTTGCTTGACAATGCACGGCTACCAAACGGCTCATTTGCCATGATTCAAGAAAAAAATTTAGTGATAAATGGTGAAAACGTTGGTTGTCATAAGAAATTACTATCCCCGTGGAAAATGGAAGCTGCTGTTATCAAGACATTTCAACATTATAGCTCATCATTGAATTGTTCTTTTGGAATAGCTAATTTATCGTCGCTGAGTCCTACATCCATAGAGCAGTCAGTATTTGTGGCTAATTATACTGTTCTGATTGATTCGGGAAAAGCCGAATATAGTTTTTCGGGTTTATTCGGTGGTAATGCTTATGCTAGAATAACATTTTTTACCAATGCAGCAGTAAAAACTGGTAAACGAGTAATGATAGGTAAGAACTAGATAATTAAGCAAGGCAGCCACCTTTGATACGTTTATTTTCTTAAAGGTTTAGATGATCGCCAGAATAAAACTGAAACCATGATATTTCAACAGAAACTTGGCACAATACCAGTGGATACTCGACAGTTTGTTCTCGTTGTTTATTTTGTAAATATTCCTGGGGGAAGGCATAATTTTGCTATTTTTAATAACGTACGGTTTTTTATAAAAGAACGGAAATGATTTATATGTAAACAGGTACTATCTCTTTCATTGCCATTTATCTAAGAAATCTGCTCTCTTGGCTAAATGTTATATTACAAGAGCAACTCTGTGTGTGTCTAAAAGTGAAATATCTGATGAAGAGATTATAAGTATTCTCGTTCAAAATAGTTCCAAATGACTTGAAACTTCACTCAAACAAAACACTCCACTTAATTGACATGTTAAACATGCCGTGGTGCATCAGAATTTGAAAAACCTTCAAAAGATCTGCTAAATTTTTACAAGGGTTTCCAGAAAACCCCGTTGTTCCTTAACCCTTGCTGTTAAATGATATTAGCAGCGTGACTCAGTCGGCGGGTGGGCAGACAACGTACTTCAAACAGACGAAGTTCGAATTCCGGCAACGGCGGTCGTGTGATAGTCTTGGACAAGCTAACTAATGCTCATTGTCGAGTAAAAGTAAGAGGTTGCTTAGATCCAGTGTTGTAGAAGACACTTTGGACTATCCACCTTTGGAAAAGTATCGATAGATTGCTAGTTTAGTTTCAGAAAATTCGAGTTGATTTTCTAAATATCCGCTGAAAGATCGGCCTTTGAAATTTTTTCGAGAAACGTCTTTGCTAACAAAAAGTTGACTTAAAGTCGTGGCTATGCGATGGTGAAAACTGCAGTACTCTACCTCTTTCCTATCGAAAGTTATTCAGAAATTAACCAGGTCCATTGTATGTTGGTGTCGATAGTAATTAAGCATCCGTGCAATCATTCGATGCGTTCACTAGATATCACAAAACGAGTAAAAACTAATAGTGGTTAACGATGATTTCAGTTGTTGAACTAAACGCAAGCTCTCTATTCTCAAGATGCATATATTATGAGAGACAAAGGATCCTTCATTTTAAGCGAGAAGCTGCCAACTCAAGATGAACTCAATGCGAGAACCGTTGAATACATGTACAAAATTTCTAAATTTTTGTTGCTTTATAGTATACTTTTATGACTCATACCAGAGGATAAAACAGGCCAACTTCATGTAGGCCTTGCCTGCCCATGACAGGCTATCGACTTTCACAGCCTGCCTGTGCCTGCCATTCATTTCTACTGGCCTGGCCTGCCTTCCTGTGATTTTGCTCGGCTTGTCTGACCTGCCCGGCCTGCCTGTCGAACGATAAAAGTTTTGATGAAAATTAACAAAAGCATGATAGACAGGCGGCCAGTGTTTTTTGCTGAGCCTGCCTGGCCTGAGGAGGGCCTTGGCCTGGCCTGCCTGGCCTGTGCCAGGTTTGAAAATTGTGGCCTGTGCCTGTCCCAGGCAGGCAGGCAGGTCTAATGGCCTGTTTTATCCTCTGACTCATACATGAAAATCAGACTTTACATCGACTTTATGCCGACCATATGAAACTTTGGAAGCCAGTAGAGCTCAACATTCTAAGCATAACTGTCACCTCGAAAAAATTTTAAAATGCAAGGATTGTGTTCGAATGGCCTAGGCTAGAGGGTTTCGTGCAAAATATTAGAAGGCTTCATATAACAATATTTACAAAATAAATTAATATGTAAAAATAACAGAATTCATGCACTACGTTCTCACACTACAAGCAAACATATTTATAAATAAAATACGGCAGAATCAGTTAGATTTGATGTTTTCCGAATGCATGGAAGAAATAGGAAATGTGATCAGATACGATTTTAAACGAAAATAGCTGAACATCTCTCAAACATCATATAAGTGAGAGAAGTGAGACGAAAGATCATTTTTTGTTGCCGAATGTAACGGTGTTTGTTTATCTTTATTGGCAATATTCAACTGTGTACCACGCAGACTACGAAGCTACTGAACGATAGACAATTGTCCAAATTCTGATGCAATGGCCACTGGAGCATCACCGCCTAATGTTGATTTCATATAATCTGGTTTTAAATTTTCGATTAGATACCTGATAAGATCCACATTACTTGATTTACACGCTAAGTGTAATACTGTCCATTGGTCGAAGTCTTCATCGATATGTTTGTGATCTATTTGTGCACCATAACTGATCAGTTGCTTTGCTTCTATTATTATTTTTGAATTACGTTTTTCATCTGCTGTTGCCTGTGTAATACACTGCCATAGACGTAAGTTTAATTCATCCCGAATAATTTGTGCAACAACTAATTGTTTTTGATCATTGGCAAACTGTAACAGACTTTTATTCAGTTGACGATTAAAAAACATATCAGATGTAACTTTTTTCAGTTTCAAAAATGCAGATACGGTTAGAAATTGATCATCGTCGTACAATATGAACATTTCAATTGGACGATATCCGTTTACATTCATAGCATCGCTATCTGCACCAAAATCACTGACAAATGCATTAACTAATTCTGGCGTGCCTTTGTTAACAATTAACAGATGTAAAAATGTATCATTATGAGCAATGAATGCGTCAATCTTTGCACCTTGTTCTAATAACTTATGAACTTCATCCGGTGTCAACTGTGATTGTTTCTGTTGAATTAATTGTTTTAATTCACTGTTGACGCCTAGTTTTTCTAGAAAGGCGACCAATTGGGTATTTCTTGATGCGGCATTACGAGCGAGTTGTAATGCTGTGAATTCTCTTTATTTTTATACTCGGTATTCAATCCACCAGCAACCAATACTTTAATCAATTCCAAATTATTCGTGATAACAGCATTGCACAATACTGTGTTTCCCTTGTCATCAACATATTCGGTATTTGCGCCTCTCGAATTCATTCTCCTACTTCATTGATATTGATACGTGGAGTGTTGAACGGTATCTTGTTTAATATCAAATCAAACTGTCCCTGTAGACAAGCCGATTTACTGGGTACCCAAATATAGTTTGGTAAAAATTTGTCACAGCTAATTATCACACCCAAGTTTTTCCTCATGGTCTATAATCTTCGACTAATGCTGAATATTTTGTGCCGGTTACAGTCATTTTTGACGGAAACCGAGTGAGTTATGCGAATTTGAAGTTTACATGACTACTGGCAAAATACGGAATTTTTGAAAAAAACGGATCAGCTGAACTTCCTTCGATCTGAAGATTCCGTCAAAAATGACTGTAACCGACACAAAATATTCAGCATTAGTCGAAGATTATAGACCATGAGGAAAAAC